AACTGGGTCTTGTTATTTTCCAGATCCTCCTAATCTGGAACACAATATATGTATTATTGTAAGGAGGAGAATTCTGTTCAGTCCTTTAGCAGGTAGCTGGGATCCAGCAGGAGGACATTAAATCACACAGCTGCATTTGAATGTCACAGAATGAGGCTCTGGAGTTACTGAGCATGTGTCTGTGCAGTGGAAGCTGAGGGACCCTCCTGCTGCTGCCCAGCCACGCTCTGCTAACAAGGACAATGTGTTCACACTTCAGAGGAGGCTGAATGCTTCACCAGAATGTTACGAAATGGGAAGTGAACCATCAGTAACACAACATGTTGCCTCAGTAGGCCTTCCTGACCCCCGTCTGTGAAGGCAGCAGACATTGTTTCCTCAAACTCTTCATCTTAGAGAGAAGTTTGAAGCAGAGCTATGTCACAGCTGTTGATGGAAGAAAATAAGCAATTTTGATTATTATCAAGGAAACCCTGTTGATCTTTCTTTTAAAAAACATATTTAAACTCTCAAAGTCTGTAAGGAGAACAGATCTGTTTCTTACAGTAAAGCTCACCAAGAGGTTCATCTTTGGTAGGACAGTTGGGATTTTACAGAAGCTGTATTTTTTACAGTTGGCTCTGACACCTCAACAGGTCAGTTAAGTTCTGGACCAGGCTGAACTGTCTCTGCTTTAGAGAGAGGGAATGGATGCTGGAGGGCAGGGAGCTGCCCAGGACTGGTTCTTTCCACATGTGGGGCCCTCTCTGGAACCGTGAGGATCCTCACAGTTTGTTTCATGAGCAGCAAACTAGCAGCAGCTGACATGAGCTGAATGCTCTGAAGCTGCACCAGAGAAACACGAGTGAGGCTTCCACTGGAGAAACGCCGTGTGGATCCTGGAAGAACGCAGCTGTGATGGAAACGTTTGGCTCTGGTCACATGCTCAGCTCTCTTGGTGATGGTCTCCTGTTATTCTCAGCTTTCTGAGAGGTCGCAGGTGTTGTCTTGCTCTGCACGTCGGAATGGTGGACGCTCTCACCTGATGAAGTTTGCTCTCAATAAAATGATCCCTGGCTTCCTCAGACACAGGCTAAGACTCTTCTTTAATACAAACCCCCGGGGCAGCAGCTCCAGGCTGTAAAGGGCTGGAGGAGGCTCTCTACAGGCAGCACACAGAAGTAAAGCAGAAGCTGAACCAGGAAGCAGAGGATCTGCAGCCAATGAGCTGCTGAAGGTGTGGAGCTGGATCAGTGTGTCAGAGGAGGCTTTGGAGAAAGACTCCAGCAGGACGGTCCACAGACACTGCTCCTCTGAGAGAGGCCGGGCCTTTGCATTTAAATCAATTTATTACTTCATTTATTCATCATTTAATGTATCTTTTAATCTTATTTTAATTCTAAAGCCTAACCATGGATTTGGTCGGCTGGTCTCTCAATGCAATTGACAGCATCTTTTCTACCCAAAGACAAACTATCCACTAAAGCTGCCCGAGCCTCTCAGAAGGAAATGGCAAAAATCCCAAAATCCAGATGATCTAACAAAATATCAGGCACTGCTGTCTGCATTCTCTTTAAGCGTCACTGATGCTCGTTTATCAAATGTATAAATCTATTCAGTCAAGTACTCCCATAGCTCTCACTAGTCATGACTTCATGAGCTTCTTTAATGATAAAATTCTAGCTTTTAGAAACAAAATACACCAAGACTCGCCCTCAACTGGCACCAACTTATCTTTAAACTCAGA